CTTTTGTCGAGCCAACATGTTCGAAAACCCGCCGAGAATCGTACGATTCTCAGCGGGTTTCCAGCCTGCTCGCCCGATAGCTGCGGAGCGGGCCGGTGTGCGCCCCGGCCCGTTCTGCATTGCCGTCATCGGAAGCCCGCCCCTCAGCGGGGCGGGCTTTCGGTGATCGCAAGTACGATCTGCCCGTCCAAGGTGGGCAGATCGTACGGGCTTTCAAGAAGCATACGACCATCGCAAGACAAAAGTCTTGCGATGGTCGTAAGGTGTATGGGCACCTTTAATCTCCCTTTATTTCAATGGAGTGGTCATCTATTACAAGGGGGGTGGTCTCTCCCTAGAAATTAAGAGATTCTTTCACTCATGTTCAGAAGAGTCTAGACATGAGGCTTAATCGCTTAGGCGTGGGTGCTCCACACAGTGGAACACACCCAAAGCAATTGGGAGGCCTTGGAAAATACAAAATAAAAGGGGTATCAACACACATTGTACAGTCCAAAGTAGTTTTTAATGACAAAAGACAAACAGAATAAAAGAACTAATGCTGCAGACTGCAAAACCTCTTACGACTGAATGTGACCCTAAACAAGGTAGCAGCTTGGAATAAATTATTTGTTATACTGGCCATATCCCCCATCAGACACTAGTAGTGCCCCTAGTTAAGATTTTGCCTTGCTGGAAGGCCTTGTCCAGAGAAAACGGTGTTGCAGGAGGTGTGCCTTTAAAGAGTATCCAGATCTGGAAATCTTCTGCGTTTGAGGTAAGTTGGTGTAACAGCTCAACTGGTAAGGCAATTTCACTGCATACTACTGAGGAAAGAGATGGACTCCTCTTACAGGGTCACAAGTCTTAAGTAGGAAAAAAAAAAGGCTGCACCTACACAGTCAGACTTGAATTGTTGCTGCTCTTACTAATAAATCTACAAAACCATTAAAGTTACTTGTGCCCAACTTATTTAACCCACTATAAAAGAAGGATCCATCTTTGAGTGAATACACCCAGAAGCTGAAGAGTGGTTAGTAAACTGTGGCATTCAGAGATTTTGCCTGTAAAACCTCTTTGGGGGTTATCCCACATCACCTAGGGAGTGGTGCTCAAAAGGAAATCGTAAATGTTGCCTGTATGTTCCTAATTTTTTTCTCTTATTTTATTAACCTACAGTGATAAAAACAACAACAGTAATCTGGTTGGTGTGTATAATACAAAGATTGCTCATCACAGATTTGTAATATTTTTTAGGAGTCTCAAATGGGGCATCTGATAACTGTAGCATGGCAACTACATGGTCATTATTTTCAGGTGGTACAAGTATGCTAATCATATAAAAAAATATTTTCATAGAGCTTAGATGTAAAAAAATAGATCATCATATCTGCCCAAAATGTGCTGTACACATAAGGCATTTATGGAGTCCTGCCCAAATATATAGAGTGTGTCTTACATGAGTAGTATCCAACATCTGCATTCACTGTAAGCCGTCCTATGTCAAAGGTGTCTATCATGTTCGTGTCCCATTTCCTACGATAGCTGGTGTCATGCAGAACATCATAGAGAACCTCGGCAGAGACATCCTTGCACATAATACGCATCTGAGGAACAGAGAAAAAAACCCAAAGAAATGAGGGGTCAAGCAATAGAAATCCCCAAATCAACTCAAATGTGAATAGCCAAGCTTCCTCATTAAATAACCTGATTAAATAACTCAAACATCCTCCATCAAGGGCTCAAAATATTGAAGAAGTCAAGGATATCAGTTCAGCAGCAAAAATTTTAGAAGAGATCAGCAACGGCAGTCTTAGTTTTTCTTATGATTGGTCCCCTTTAAATTGCAATTAGCATTGAATTCAGCATTCTCAGCTGTATGCCTTAGAAAGGAGAGATTAAGCAATGGCTTTATCAAAGGCTACCAATTACATTTCAGCTGATCTTTCAGCAAAACATTGGGTACCACCTGATGGACTTGAAGCTTTCATAACCCTTCCTGCCTCCTGCACATTTCTATTGACTAGTGAGGCTGCCCATCATTGTCATAGTAATGTATGGGTGCAAAGCTTGGAAGGTCAAATACTGACACTACCCAGAGGTGTCAGGGCTTTGTCTGCGTGAATGGCCAGAGAGAGAGAAGTTTGGAGGCTGCTGTAGGTATGTGCAGACACCTCTAGGAGCCTGCATTTCCTTCCCCCCTCTATCAACAGAGTCTCTTTAAAGCAGATCTAAAGCTTAAATGGACTCCCTAAATGTTTCCATCAGACATATCTTGCACTATTTCTAGTTGGTGTGGTGACATCACTGGTCCTTCCTCTTGCTCTGGGAGGTGGGCAGTCCTTACCCCTTCACTTAACAGGGATCACCTAATGACATGCGAGTGCAGTCAGTGCAGCAGTAGCCTGAGCCCAGTGCGGTGGAATGATTTACCCCATCCTAAGGGTGTGTGTCCATTATATCCTGGGCTTGGGAAAACGGAACAAATCATGCTCACCATCAGTTTTTTTTTGGGGGGGGGGGAAGGGCGCTAGACTGATGGCAAATATGCAGTAAAAGCTTCTTTGATTTAGGACTCCTGAGCATATTATTTATTTACTTAAACTTAAAATGTGCGGCAAAGCTAAAGCCATGAACCAAAAGAAACTGAAAACAAATCGACATCTTTTACATACTGTGGATGAAAGCCTTATGTAATAGAGAATAGTTTCCTTGCTTTAGATGAACAACGGAAAACATCACAAATTGAAATTACAGCGTCACAGCTGGTGATATTAGCCGATATTTGCTCAGCTTCAGTTAAAAATGACAATTTAAATTTTGCATCACTGGTTTCTGCAAAGTAATTTTAAACATGATCCTCACACTGCAGATGCTCCTTTCTCAGTTACTAAGCAGGGTTACAGTTATATAATATTCAAATAAAAGGGGAATTCCAACTTACAGTATACGGGCATAGTTGCATATCATGTGGGAGTATTGGCCCCCATTGTTTTATCTGTGATGTTTAGTACAAAAAATGTGAATTTGATCCATCGTAACTGATTTGGCATGGTGGTCAAGAACCTGCCTGTATGTACTCGGGGCGCTGTGCTCCTATGGCTGTCAGCATGTAATTTTGGTAGCATTCATACTACACCACCCAGGCAGCCCAATTAAAATGAATGGGCTGCAACACATCAAGGCAAAAAATTAAAAAAATAGGGCTTGTACCATTTTATAGCTGGCCACTACACCTTGTCGCACATGTGCTATGTGGTGTACAGCAGTGTGTTGCAGTTCGGGTGTTCCGTTGTTCAAAATGAATGGCACTGAAATGCACATATGGTGCATTACAGCAAAAGACTAGCGTTAAGAAGCCCTAAAGGAACCTTTTCCTAAATAACATCAAGACTGCCTTTGCCAACATTTAATTCTGAAAATACTACTTGGTTGTCACACTGACCCTTGCCTTTAATACATTGAGACACTTATCCACATGCAGATAGAGATTTTTGTCTTTACAACTGTGCAGTGATTCTTTGCTACTAGCATTAATTGCCTCCTACTCTTCTCAGAGTGACATTTGGGAGGGGAGAGGACACTCTTGAAGGTGCCTGGGAAGAAGTAGCTCGCATTAGAGATTTAATTAAACTTTGGATTGATGATCTACAAATTCCATTAATTGCCACATCATAGAAGGAGTTCCTCTGCAACCATTTTGTTCGTGCATTTGGAACATAGCAGTTTGAATAAGATTGCAAATTTTTTTCTAATCTTAACCTCCTACCCAGCCCTAGGAAGATTTTGAAGATTTACTTTTCCAAGAGAAAAATAGTAAATAAAGAAAAGGAGTATATTCTCCGACAGGAAGCAGTGGAGAGAGGAGAATACCCATAGCTGGCCATATGCCTCCTTAGTGTCATTGGTCTCCTGATAGGCAGCTGCGCGAGCATTCCCATCCATCCTGTAGCAACACCAGCAGTGGACTGGGCCAGAATCCTTTAAAAATAGACCAAGGACCTCACAGAGAATCAGGAATCCCTTTGCTTCTCATCACCCACCTCTCCTTTTACTACCGGTACAGCCACATGCAGAATGGTTCATCACTTCAGAAAAACCCAAAAAGTAAATATTTACCATGGGAGAAGGAAAAAAAACAAAAACTCCCGAAACTTTTGCCAGACCGGAAGTGCCACAAACGTTCCACACTGGACCCAGAACCAGAAGTCCTCAGGGAACCACAAGGAACGCCACATGTTGCACTCTGGAGGAGAAGGACCAGCCCATCTGAAAAATGCTGCAAGGCAAAGGCTGCCTGCCCCCTGCAGAATTTACACCTTGGAACTGGCAGGGAACTCCAGAGCTCCCTGCAACCATGCACTCCCATACCCTCCCTTCCACCTCTAACCCCAGAAACCTTCCTCAAAACCTGCTCCCATTAGAGGGAAGACGTCATGAGCCTGAGAAGAAACTACTGCAAAAGGAGCCTACAGGAACCTCCAACTGAGGTTCTATGTCAATACTCTGGATCTGGTTCTGTGAGGGATAGGAATACAACCAAGTTTAATCCACATTTATTTACTCAACTTTTTTCCTAATCACTAAAAGGATCTTGTTTAGTTTTAAATTGTTCTGTGATTTTGGCGATAAAGACTGTGGTCAGCTCTATATGGATTTTGGAGCCTAGGTCCTGACAAGCATGTTGATACCTAGCACGGCACAGTACTCGATTTTTTTTCAAAATCAGGATTTAAAAAAAACAACTTTATAAACAATTTGTGAAACCCGACAAAAACAAACATAGACCAACCACCAAGACAGTAATACAAAACAAATGCAAAAAAAAACAGTGCGGGCATACCTGAAAAGAAAATAAAGAAACAAATAATTAACCGTGGGACTAAAAAGAACCAAAAAGATGAACAGATAAAATTCTCAGCTACCAAATATCCTGAAACACGTACACAGTCGTGGCAAGGAACAGAAGGAAAAGGGCAGGAGAAAAGTATAAAACCTGAACACCTTTTGGGGGGAAGCAATCAAGGAAACATCAGTTGCAGGTCTACGATCAAGCCACCTGTCCCAGATCAAATGAAATTTAGCTTCAGTGCCTCAATGCAGATAGGTCACTTGATTATTAACCCTTTATATAAAGCACCTTCAATGCCTTGATGGAAATGAATCATTGAGACACACCCCTAATAAAACCCAGCCTTTAATTAGCAAATAAGATAGGTGAACATAGATTATGCCACAATACAACTGTCTGTGGGTTAAGAAAAAAAACAAAAAACCACAACACGTAAAAAAAATAAAAATCGAAATTACCAACCACTTTCATTTAAAGCGCAAAAATAGCTGTGGTCTAGGAGTGGTTAATGGTCATTTTAACTAGAACCTTGAAACTGACCCCATGGGAGCCTAGCCAGCTCAAATCTAATCCCCACTGGGCAGCAATCTCTTCTGCAATAACCCATGCTGCTCTGAACAATGTGACTACACTGACTGTTCTAGTTGTTCATCTGGGGGCAGAACAAACCAGCATTGTTTTTTTTTCCTAATTGGCAGACATTAAAACATTGTATGTAGACATTTGTTTATACTGCATTGTCCACGTTTGTTTTCATCTAGTTGCTGCACCATCAATCTGATCATGTAAATTTATACAACCTTACTAGTAATGTTCTCACGCTCACTTCGTAAAAGCAACATAACATGTTAATTGACAACTGGTAATACCGAGGTGTCTGAGCCAGCTTTGGCAGACAAGATACTCTCTGGGGCGAGAATTATTGATCAGATGAATGTCCTAGTCCGATTGCCTTTCATTACTTCGAAATAATGTTGGTGCTGTTGACAGATGTGACATTTCAGTTAAAGCAGGAGTGTATTTATTGTTTGATGGCAGATAATGCTACAGGAAAATGTCAATTATTTCAAGCAATAGATTGCATAATCTAAAAAGGGTAAATGCAATGTGAAGGCCTGAAATCATGCTGGGACCAGCGGTTCCTTGAACTGGAGTATTTATAAGACTGATAGGAATGGAGATGCAGAACATTATTTAAAATTGAGGCCTTATGTTTATTGGTAAAGGATGGACACAATCCTAAAATGGTTATATAGGTAAAAGTTGTTCAAAAGCCTTAAATGGTTATATAGATGTTTTAGAGACTAAGTCATTATTATTGTGACATTTGGAAAAATGTATGAATGAAGGGCAGGAACCTGGAAATGCCTGCATATACCTCAAATATTCTTCCCAAGCATGCAGAGAGCAAGGAAAGCTAGGGCACCCTTGAACGCAAATTCCAAACTCAGCTTGGAAAAAATTAGGCCTTAGTCTACCTCTCTTGTTCGTGTTTATTGGTCCAATTGATGGCTGCCCACAGATCAACAGCAGTATAGAAGGGGATAGAATGAATTGAAATTTTATAATGGAGCACCCTGGCTTTGACTCCCGGGTCAAGGAAAACAAAGCTGCAGGTATGTGCAGGTATCCCCAGTCACGTTGGTGTTATTTATAACACCATATCAGGAAGAACAGGATAATGACAGGTTTACTTCAAAGAATTATTAAGAATAGTTATCATGGTACTTTTCCCATTATGCAGGAGCCACTTAC